AGGCACCACTATTGTGCCAGGTAAGTTACAGGCTCACCATAGCCCGTGCTACTTGGAACTTGTTCCGAATAGCTGAATCTATAACAACAACCACCACCACCACCTCCACTACCACAGCAACCACGACGACCACCACCAACATCCTCTACCACCACCGCAACCACGACGACCACCACCAACATCCTCTACCACCACCGCAACCACGACGACCACCACCAACATCCTCTACCACCACCGCAGCCCTAAAGTCATGTGTGTGTACAGCCTCCGAGCACATACCTTCACCGACCCACAGTGAAAGCTGTAAGTTGGCTCTCACTAAGACGAGAGAAAGAGAGAGAGAGAGAAAGAGAGAGAGAAAGAGAGAGAACATACCAAGGATTATTTCCAGGACAGTCCCCTAGGAAAGGAAGGAACAACGGACAGAGAGGAGGATAAGGAATGAGAACAGAGAAAGAAAAGGGGCGACAATAAAGATAGGGGGAGAAGAAAGATGAGGGTGAAGTAGAGATAGGGAGAGAAAGAGAGAGATAGGGTTAGAGAAAGAGCCTGGGAGGGGGGAGGGGGGGGGGGGGAAAGAGATCCGCTTCGACCGGGCTCATTGCCAAGGTGGTTCTGGACGCCTGCCCATTGTTGATGTCGGTCCCGTGTTGATGTGACGCTTGGCGGGGTGAGGAGGATACATGTGTTGATGTGACGCTTGGCGGGGTGAGGAGGTTACATGTGTGTTGATGTGACGCTTGGCGGGGTGAGGAGGATACATGTGTGTTGATGTGACGCTTGGCGGGGGAGGATACATGTGTTGATGTGACGCTTAGCGGGGGAAGGATACATGTGTTGATGTGACGCTTAGCGGGGGAAGGATACATGTGTTGATGTGACGCTTGGCGGGGTGAGGAGGATACATGTGTGTTGATGTGACGCTTAGCGGGGGAGGATACATGTGTTGATGTGACGCTTGGCGGGGTGAGGAGGATACATGTGTGTTGATGTGACGCTTAGCGGGGGAAGGATACATGTGTTGATGTGACGCTTGGCCGGGGGATGGGGATACATGTGTTGATATGATATCTTCAAACAATCCACCAGCAACTTTACCTCAAGTAACCCCCTTCGTCAGTAAACGAAAGATATCAGCAAACAGCGACGCGGTCAACATTTACGATGTAAACAAACAGGAGACATTGACCATTTACGATGTAAACAGAGAGACATTGACCATGGTAGCATATGTAAGATTACCGTAAGAGGCTCTTATCATCAAGGTCAAGTGATACGGGGACCTTATACCCCCCCCCCCCCCCAAGCTGATCCTTATAGTCACATAAGGACTTATACCTCATAATAATAATAATAATAATTACATGTCATTGCAATCTATTATTTATGTAATTTCAACGTATCATAGAAAATGATCCACGTCACAGGTTTTCTTTTAAGCGTTGGAGACACTTATTAGTTTTTTGGTGATTTATTTTTGAGTAATGTTTTTAATATTTTGAAAGTCGTTTAAAAATCCTTGCTCGAAGATTGTTTTTGGATTGTTGTTATTGTGACGTCACATTAACGTCACACGATTGTATGATGTTAAACAATTACAAGTGAAAATGTTAATTGATAATATATATATATGAAACATAATAATTTTGCTTTTTCCCTCGTGTTCAAATAGGAATTTATTTAAAGTTCTTTTGTGCTTATTAAAGTGATCTCGTATGGGGGGAGGGTGAGGGGGGGGGGAGTCAATAAAGATAACTACACACACACATTCTGCTTTACTAGAGGTAAGGGAATTATCAGGAGAAAGCGTCAAGCCATTACGACTTTTATAAGCTTGCTATACTGGAGTCTATTGGAGAGGCTGCAAGTCTGAATTAAGACTTATCTGTATTCAACTTCGCCATCAAGTTCATCTACCGAAGTGGAATATTGGATTGCTGATGCGAGTCAGGCTTTAATGTTATTTTGCAACACCTGTGGGGGGGGCGTCACTTGGGACAACACCTGTGGGGGGCGTCACTTGGGACAACACCTGTGGGAGAGGAGTCACTTGGGACAACACCTGTGGGAGGGGAGTCACTTGGGACAACACCTGTGGGGGGCGTCACTTGGGACAACACCTGTGGGAGAGGAGTCACTTGGGACAACACCTGTGGGAGGGGAGTCACTTGGGACAACACATGTGGGGGCGTCACTTGGGACAACACCTGTGGGAGAGGAGTCACTTGGGCCAACACCTGTGGGGGGCGTCACTTGGGACAACACCTGTGGGAGAGGAGTCACTTGGGACAACACCTGCCCCGTCACCTGGAATGTGCTGGATAACCATGTTCAGAGTTCCCACAGTGAACTTTCACCCCGGGTTCGATACGACGCCTTAGAAACAGGCTCTGACCTCATCACCACCTCATAGTCTGACGTCACTGCTGCTCCAGTGACGTCACTGGCGCCTCATCTAGTGACGTCACTCGCGCCATTGCATCTAGTGACATCTCCCGGA